AATTGCTATTTCTCACCGGTGGTGATTGTCACCACCTAAGGAATTATACAATTTATGATTAACCCCAACCCTAACTCTGCCCCACGCAAATTTAATTCCTTAGGTGGTGACAATCACCACCGGTGAGAAATAGCAATTCTCAAAAAACTATATACAAAAAAAAATATTTATATCGGCAAGCAGTGATTGTGTTACGTTGAAAATTATCCAGTCAAATTTGAATTTCATTCATCAATCTATCTATGTGTATATGTTTTGCCAACTTTAAAGATTTATGGTTTATCAATCTATCCATCACTATGGGTATACGTTTTGCCAATTTTAATATGTATATAAATATATAAATGAAAAATGGGATACAAAGAATATACTTACTTTATTTCTCTGTAGGTAATAAATAGTAAAGCAATTAATCTTAAAATTAAAATATGTCCACAGTTCTAGTTTTTGAGGCATAACTATTATCCTAAAAGCACCTCTAGCGATCTCCGGGATGGGCAAGCGTTTAAAATTTACTCCTTGCAAATAAAATCACGAGAATATAATTGGGTGATTTTGAAATCAATACTAGTACAATATAAACACAATACCAATCTTAATATTTCCCAAGCCCCGAAATACATATTTATTTATTGCATCGCCATCATGCAGATCAGATAAAACATTTAAAAAGAATAAAAAAATCACGTAATCATCAAAAAGTGATCTCGGAGGAGGTTGTAGATAGGCCGTGATAATTATTATTATCGATATTTTTCAAAAACCAAATGTTCATTTATATACTAAAAAAAATTAATAAAAGATAGTTCATTAATAATTTTAATTACAGACTTGGGAAGAGAATCTCCAACTCCGACGGTTTAACATTTTCAGAAAATATATAACTGGAAAAAAATACGTTAAGTTTGATAATCACCCACCTTCATCATTATCCAATAAATTTTTACAGGTATTAATATTTCGATTTTGACAATTCTTCCCGTAAATAAAGTCACCTAAATATGAAAAAATGCGCTCATATCCACCATAATTTAATTGTTAATTGGTGTAGATGGTCATAATTATCTTCACAACTATATCACAATGAAAATATGACCATCATATTGATCGTTATATGTTGCATTATAAGATTTTCGTTATAATTCATATTTCTACAGTTGAGAAAGTAATTCTAAATGAGATTTTTTTAAAATTGAATCCAATTTCTTTATAACCGGAATGTAAGAAATATAGATACCTTGCGTGATTAAATTCCTTCCAACGTAAATTAAATTTATTAATACAGAATTTTCCACAATGGCTAACTCAACAAGATCTAGATAGAAATTGGCAAAATTTGTGTTTTCTGACTGCAAAACTGTCACAGAATCTCTCATTGAAAATATTTTGAACGCGCCATTAAAAAATTATATCCCTTTTTAATTAGATTTGAAATAAAGCGTGATTATAAACGTGCAAACTATGATAAAGTGTCATAGACTGATGTCCACCGAGTTTGACAAATATTTTTTAACCCTCTACCAACAATATTATAATTATTAATAATCTTGATGTGATTTTTTAAAACTTAATTATTCGATTACACGATGAAGCGTTGAGAAATACGCCTAAGATTAAATATACGAGGGAAGCTATTTCTCTAGCTAATTCAGTTACTATAGCCACGAATTTTTGTGATCTGATTTCATCAAGATTTTTTCATCAAGAACTGACACGTGTGGCTACTGTGAGAAAGATCTCCTACAGGAAATAAATATGTGCTTTCATAAAAGTTTGACAAAAGAGTTTAGGCAATTTGGTTTGTTTATTTCCTTGATTTGTTGATTGTTACCTCATCCAAATAAAAACGAGAGATAGGATAATGACATCCAGTACATTTATTAACTAAATGAGCCTTGATGTTTCACGATTCCAGATTTTTGTGCAATATTTGCAAGATGCCGAGTAATGTAAACATACATCAGACAAGAATGTCCCGAGCCAATCCTTGATTGTAGTTAAATAAATCATTAGTTCAATTCTAAACAAATATGAAACCGCATTTCAGAGGAATTGGTAAATTAGAATTTGGCACCATGAATTTAAACAGTCAGTTACCTATACAGCCAATATACTTCTGAACCAAGATGTAATTCACAAAATGATTGTCATTTTGTCACCTTAAAGTGTAGAAATCTTATCTCGTAAGATTTATTTTCTGCATATGACGAAAAGAAGACGTTTTGTCACCCAACCTTAGTTGTAAACACGTCAATGAAGTTGTAAAAAATGTTACCGATGTTTAACATTATATGTCTAAATTACAAATGTTGTATATTCCCAGATATCTTAGTCAATGTGACCCAACCATGATTTACTCTTCCAAAAACGTCATCCCAAAAAGAGTATATATGTGGTGTTTGTTCCAAATATTTTTCATGGTATACTCGACATCAGATACG